GCCACCACCGGGACTGAACCAGAGACCTTTGAGATTACTGTATTCAAATGAGTTTCGCTGCCGACCAGATATGGAATTGTCATAGTCATCGCTTCCAAATGAAAGGATGGGTTTTTAAACAAAACGTAACTTGTGGGCGTGTTGATCCCGTTTGAGTTGGTACAAATTGATTTGGTCAACAGGGCCCGAAGACGTTTGCCAATAGCCAACTGTGATATTAAAAGATTGTTATTTGGCCATGTTCTCATTGAACTGTTTGTGTTCCCGGGAACTGAGATTTGGACATTACTGTACAGTAATGTCAATGCAATCTGAATCTGGACTAGGATTCATTGCCAGCAATCACACCAAAATCGGTTAATAATAGATGTATTCCACTTGTTTTTCGCCACACGTCAGTGTTGTCAGTGGAAACGCACGTGCATGACTTAAAACTGTCTCTCCCTGTTTCCATATTATAACAAAAATGGTAAAGATTATAACGTTAAGAAAACAATCTATAAGTAGTTCCCTTTCAATTAGTCTTTACCTTAATGTGGTGTTTGAAAGGAGCTGTCTAGTAAGTTTTTATGTTCCATCTTTGACAGTGGTACCGAGGAAGACGGACGTTGCAGCTGTTGGTTCCGGCATTTTCAGAACGAACATGTCTTAAAGTGTCATTAAATGAATAACTGAATCAATTGTTTTTTTAAGACTATTCGGTCTAGAGACACAATTCAGTGGAAACAAGAAACGGAAAACCGCGCAAATCCAAATCCGACCTGTATTCCCTTCAGTGTTTTACTCACTCCACTAAACGGATTCATAAAGTGACTTTCCCAAATTTTCAATGTTGTCAGCATTCGTGTGCGCTGTTTCAGGCTGATCATAAACCAGATCGGTATTATTATAGAGAAGAGTATAATGGTCACGTATACTTCTGGTTTTTTTTTAAAAGTCCATTGGCAGCCCGTCATAATTATCTCGACATGTAGTCACTAAGGGTGCTCAAGGTTTGAATTGGCCGAATATTTTGGTCAAGACAATTTTAATGATCAATTCCATGGCTACGCTAATATCTCATTTGCCAATCTTGAAGTCGAAATGCTTCCCCTACAGCGAGACCAAAACTATCTGACATAATTATGTTAAGACCTCTAAATGTTTGTAATCTCGAAGAAAAAGAAAAACTGAACGGTCCACGAACTATCAGGCGCATGTGAACTTAACAAAATTAAATTTAGAGAACGGGCACTATAGAGCAGGAGGGGTGGGGGGAGTCAACCTAGCTGAAAAGCTAACCAATTTAGTCTATGAGTCAGAATCAGCGTTGACGTTTCTGGGGGTTTACCCACAGTTGGCTAATTTTGAACCAAGTGGTTTCTGTCCTCAAAATTACATCCCCGCCCCATACAATTGGAATCTTACGCCCATATATAGAGGTGTGCCGCGGAATTAATGTTTTTACCAAGCTCTAAGAAAATCATAATTTCCAGCCAATTTTACCCCCACCCACCCTCCCTCCATACACGCTCACCTGCTACCCCCACCCCACCTCCCCACAAATCAAAACAGTTGTCCAAGGGCACCATACACACTTCTTTAAAGTCGAAATGCTGAAAATGCTGAAAAGCTAACCAATTTATATATGTGTCACTAGATTCCCTATGGGTCACTGTCACGGGATATGAACGTCTGTCGCACCCGTTGAGGTGGGTGCGGTCAAGAGGGTAAAAAATGGACCCAAAATCTAGGCTAGACTAGCTCTTTTATTAACCGCGTCAAACCTGCTGCAAAATGTTAAACGTATAAAAAAGTATTGAGAACGACCACTGCCAGACATTTAGGTGGTGAGGCGTGTCCGCCAGACTAAAAAACAGGTATCCAAAAACTAACAAAATAAAACTTGTTTTAAAAAGTTCAGCATATCCACATGTATCGAGAATCACTGATGCCATACATTTTCAGGCGTGCCCAATTGCCCCACCCCAAAATCTAAGTTAGATTAGCTTATTTACTAACCGCATGAAACTTGTTGCAAACTGTTCAACATATTCACATGTATCGAGAATCACCGATGCCAGACATTTTCAGTGGTGGGGTACCCCCGCTAAACGCCGCTAATTGGCCCACGCGTCTCATTTAGTCTGCCGAATTTACGCACAGAGCAAGTGTCGAAATGTCGATGAAGCACGATACTATAAACTCGTGCAAATTACTGGCAAAATCAATATAAATTCTGTCATGGCTATATTTATTTTCAAAATAACACAAAATAGCCTTTCTTAAATAAGTTGTTGTGTGAATGAATACTGTTTAACTAAAACCAAAAGTATAGTATATGGATGCTCGCTTGACAATAATATTATCATTAGTTTGTCCACATTGATTCACCGAGTGATTTATCCAATGTTTTATTTCAGGAGAATCCACTTGAAAATTTCAAGAAGATTGACTGTGCCTTGCTGCCTCCATCAAGAAGATGTCTTGAAATGAACCTCAAAATAGTCAACTACGTGAACATGTTGTGGCAACGGGCTTCGTCGGCTTGTAGGTTTGGCACCTACCGATTGTGGATGGAAGATGATTGATGGTCTCCTCTAGCCCATTTAGTTTAACGGAGCAGCAATACCAGGCAGTTTGTTCAAAAAGACAGATGCAGACATGACAGAGAATGACAGTGACAGCTGTGAGACAATCATTGTTGGGAACGAATGTGACACTGCATCTCTTGATGGTTCTGATGATGAACCCTGAACAGAAGACTCCGATTCTGATCCGGAAGACATAAACTAGTCTTTTACTGACACTAAGGGCATCCGACAGGGATACCCAGCCACTGAAAATGTCTGGGTCAATTCTAAGTAAAAGTGTCAAAAAATTAAACATAAGAGTAACTGTTGTCATTGTTGTAGTTTGGAGGTGGTGCTGGGGCGGGGGGGGGGGGGGGTTAGAGACATCTTGCAGGTGTACACAACCACTGACTGTGGTCCTTCCTGATACATGAGAATGTGCTGAGCATTTCCAACAAGTTTCGTGTGGTCAGCAAATGGGCTAATTTAGCTTAAGTTTTTTGGGGGCGGGAGGGGGGGGGGGGTTAGGGAGGGGGGGGGGGTTAGGGAGGTCTGACGGGGTTACCTACCAACGAAATAGTCTGGCGGTGGTCATTCTTAATGCTGAACATTTTGCAACAAGTTTTAAGTGGTTGATAGTTAGTTTTTGGGTACCTGTGTTTCTAGTCTGGCCGACACGCCCCACCACCTAACATGTCTGACAGTGGTCATTCTCAGTACCCTGTCTTCATTAGCCCAGTAGGAGCAGAACAGTAGGACGTTAAACCCCATTTCATTTCATATCATTCTCAATACATTTTGATATGCTTAACATTTTGCAACTAGTTTTACGTGGTTGATAAACGAGCTAGTCTAGCTTAGTTTTTAGATCCAATTCTGTTGCCTCTCCTGACCACACCCACAACCACGGCAGACATTCACATCCTGTGACAGTAACCCATAGGGAACCTAATGACACATATAGAAATCGGTTAGCTTTTCAGCTAGGTTGCCCCCCCCCCACCACCCGCTCTCTTGATCTATTAGGATTCAACACTGAACTGGAAATTTTATGACCGTATCAAAGGGCACATTGTAAATGTTTCCAGGCAACGAAACATACGTCCACGGCAGCTAAATCGTCCAAAGGGGTCGACAAGGGTTGTCGCATATTTATTCCTTTGTAGATAATTGGGGGCCTTTACAAGACAGTTCCATACAGATCAGATTATACATTTTGTCGTTTGAGGATTCACAAGGTTCTACAAACTGAAACAAGGTCCAACTCTGGAAGTAATCTACAAAAATTGTTGAAATTTGACAGGTTTTTTCGTTTTACTAATTTAAATAATGCATATCAATTTCATACTGATCAGATAATCACTTTTGTCATTCAAAGGTTCACAATCGCCATAACTCTAGAAGTTATTGACGGAAATTGCTGAAATTCAATAGAACTCTGTTTCACAAATTTAGATGATGCATATAAATTTCATACATATCGGATGATAACTTTCATCAACAAGGGCCATAACTCTAGAAGTAATTATTTTAAATTGTTAAAATTCAATAGGCTTTGTGGTTTCACTAATCTAAATAATACATATAAATTACACAAAGATCGGCTGATAACTTTCGGCGTTAGAGCGTTCACAAGGTTCGCTAAAGTGAAACGAGCCATAATTCTAAACGTAATCAACGGAATTTGCTGAAATTCACTAGGATTGTTCTTTTTCCTAACTTAAATGGCACATATAAATTCCAGATAACATTAGAGGTTAGAGCGTTCACAAAGTGCAACAAAGTGAAACAAGGGCCATAACTCTAGCAGTAATAAACGGAAATTGCTGAAATTCAATAGGTTTCTTCTCTTGACTAATTTAAATGACGCATGTAAATCTCATACAGATCGGCAGATAACATTTGATGTTAGAGCGTTTCCAAGGTGCAACAAAGTGAAACAAGGGCAATAACTCTAGAAGTAATTGACGGAAATTGCTGAAATTCAATAGGCTTCTTCGTTTTACTAATTTAAATCATGTATATAAATTGCACAAAGATCGGGTGATAACTGTTGGCGTTAGAGCCTTCACAAGGTTCAATAAAGTGAAACAAGGGCTATAACTCTAGATGTAATAAACGGATATTGCTGAAATTCAATACGATTCTTCGCTTCACTAATTTAAATAAGGCATATAAATTACACAAAGATCGGTTGATAACTTTCGGCGTAATAGCGTCCACAAGGTTCAACAAAGTGAAACAAGGGTCATAACGCTAGCCGTAATGAACTGGCTTCTTCGTGTCACTAATGTAAAACACATATATCAAATTTAAAACAATCGGATAATAACTTTTGGAGGTAGAAATTGTTGACGACGGACGAACGGACGGACAAAGGCGACGGCAATATACCTCCACATTTCCATGCGGGCGTATAAAAGTACAATGTACAAAATATAACTTTATTTAATATGGATACAACAAAAGACATATACTAAACGGAAACAAATTAAATTATATATATTATAATACATTTTAATAAACATTGAAATGGTTACATGTTTGCAAAAACCGAAACACTGTCAAATGTTCATAAGGCTCTTGAATTTTAGACAGAACACATATAACATTCCTAGCTTCTAAAAATATACACTAGGCTCACTAATACCTTAAAAGAATCAATCTTAAGGTAATATTTCTTGTCACTAGACCAATCTCTATAACATTTTATTCCATCACATGAACCTCACAACCTGAAGGAGTGATGGTAGAGATTGTCGCTTGACTAGTTCAGTCGGCCAAATTAAGCACAACCCTGTAGGAGATATATTACAAATAATTCAGGAACGTTTTCAATCTCATACGGACGATAACCACACAAATTGAAATTACTGTGATTTCATGAAACTTGATGCAAAACTTTGTTTCAAAAAACAAAACTTCGAACACCAGTAAGCCGCTATCGCCTAGGAAAGGCTTCCATTGGAACTTCATGCCACGTATCGTCTTGAGTCGTCGGAGTACCTGTAGAAAAGAAAAGAGATATCTGAATATAGTGTGATCTACAAAATGGAAAGTAAAATCTATACAATACTTATAGAAATACGATCCCAGCAGAAAAGCTTTTCAAATACAAATGTGATGTAAATCAAGGAGTATTTATCTGAAATCACTTTAAATTCGGTAAGATTTTTCGTCCCGTTCGCTAATCCAAAGAAAACATATTAGTATATCAAATACTTGTCTTAAAGTGATCGAGGGCAATAGCCCCAGAAGTCATCTGAATTTGGTTTTGCTATAATTATCAGCACGATTTTAAAAAATGACCAAGGTTGATGACCCTGGAAGTGACCATTAGAATATATCAAATTCAAATATCGGATAATTGAAGACTGTTAGTGTTCCTTTGAACCCTCAACTTCTTATTGAGCTAGGGGGTGAATGGTCGAATGGTTAGCACGTGCGCGCTGTATCATAAGGTCTGTCATTGAGTCCAATGGCGTGGTTTCGATTCCCCGGTTGTACGTGACAAGGTTAAGGGTCGCCTGTCCAGCCTTGTGAGTTTTCTCCGGGTCCTCCGGTTTCCTCCCACTGCTAAAGACACCTACGTGCAGGCGTATTATTTAAATAAATTTGAACCATATGTTAGTCCCGAACTGACCTAATTTGTGTCGAGTGGACGTTAAGCCCCACTTATTTCTCTCTTTCTAATTGGGCGGTGTCATGAACAATGACTTTTCATGAACTTAAGTTACAAAACATCATATCCGTTTGAGCTAAAGAGATACTTTGGTATAGAGAATAATCAAAATTGATAATACAAACACAATGCAAAATTTACTTTAAAAAAAAATTCAGTAATTAACAATTCTATAAATAAAAAACGTTGTATTTTGTAACTTCCTTAATTTTCTCCAAAAAAACCCCATGTGATCACGTTGTAACATCTTTACATTCCTTTATAAAAGTGTCCCGTGTGATCACGTCAAGTAAATCTGATTTTCAGTTGGCGCGTGAAAAATTGTTTTAGCAATTCGGTTTTTACGGAGTCCTCCCTCCTCCCATCGTCTCTGAATATCTTAGATAGACCGATATCTTAACGGGGTTTAACGTCCTACTTTTCTGCTCCGACTTGGCTAATGAAGATGGACATACGGTCGCCATGCAGTGTGCTATGAGGGACAGTTTGCCCGGATAGCGGCGAAACGGCCTTCACTTACGTCGAATTTCAACTGTCAAGGGTTCTTTTACGTGCATGACAATATTTTCGTTCCATCCAAATGAATAGAATTAGAACATCGGATGGTCCGATATACACAAAAATCAAACTCAAATGAGATCTTTTGATTTTTAACACGTTTTAAAGATGCATTGTGTAAAAGTTTGGTACAGAGCTGATCGTTCTTGCAATAATAGTTCAAAAATAGATAATGAAAACTGAACACATTGAAAATTTCAGTCACATTACTTTATTTCGAGCGATGTTTTCACAATATAGACTCGATTGTCAAGTACCATTGCTACGACAATAAACAAAGTCTCGGTTATCCATTTTAACACTCAATTATTAAATCGATGCTAAAGAACCAGAGATAACACCGAGATGATTTGTCTGAGATAGATTATGTATTGTTTAATGGTCGAGAGCGAGACATTAAGTAATATATTGTAACAACATGAGGGCCGTAGGCCCGAATGTTTTTACAATATATTACGCAATGTCGTAAGCTCGAGACCATTAAACATCTTGAAATACTGACACTCCGCACGAGCTTTTACGTCACACTAGTCCAATATCTCACTGGTATGAATAAAGTACTATTGGCAAGTTGCCCGTACGATTATTTGAAATAATGATACGCCAACATCAAAGGGTGACGTCACATCTGTATTTTAAGAGGAAGTAGCGCATATATAGCAGACGAAATTTGGGGGACTATTGGTTGGGCTTTATTAGGTAGAGAGCAAAGATAAATTATCCTTGGTGTGCGCAGGATTTATATTTATATTTATTACGATATAAGATATAAAGTTATTGCTTTAGGCAGTAGGCAAATGAATGTAAATTAGGCATCATTATATTTAATTAAAAATATTGCAGCACTTTATACATGGAGGGGGCAGCTAAATGACAAATCTCAAAAATTGTAGCTTCCTTCAATTTGATATCATTAAAGTAATTGCTATTTTCTAAAAGGCATTTTATTATACATCAAAATGGAAATAAAGGGCGGAATACGGTCTCAATTTATAATGCGCGGATAATTGGCAAAATTTCTAGATTTAACGGCGTTAGTTCAACTATAGTTTACGCTAAGCCCTCGTCATGTATTCTTTTTACGTGTCAATGTATTTTAAGTCCCAAATTTCAATATCTAGTTTCCACAGCCGATTTGATATCCCTGGAATATTTATTTGTATCTATTGTCCAGTCCCGATATATGTAGGACGTGTAATGGTTTATTCATCATTATTTCAATTAGTGTTGGAGCTAGGTCAAGTTTCATTTCAAACGTGCGTAAACTAAGTTTGTGTAGCTTAAGCTTACTGGTAGGTACTTGGTAAAGGAACCCAAAATATGGATTCCCTTTTTTTCATTCCTGGTATTTAGCCATCACGCATCATTGATTTGATACGAAATTCCACATATGACGTAAAAATTTCATTCTTGGTGGATGGAGTCATTAGAACGTAGTTTTAGTTCTTAAGAAATGGTAACTACCAGGATCCATACTTAAGAAGGCACTAGTACCACCTGGCACGGATCACGTTTAATGGAAAATTGTCGTAAGCACCTAATTTGTATGTGAAATGACCCAGAACTATCTGACTAGCCAAAATATAATCACGGGTATGAAAAACTTAAGAAATCCATATTTTAGGATCACATACCAAGTACCTACCAATAAGCTACCCAAATATAGTTTACGCAAGTTTGAGATGAAACTTGACCTGGCTCTCACATTATTATCTGGATCTAATTCTCTGATGTGTCCTCATCCTGTCGCTATTGTTTATTGCCATGTATGGTTTCTCATTTGTTCGTTACTATGTTTATGATTAATACCAAGTACCAGTCCTTTATTAGTTCTCTGACCTATCTTCGCTTCTCATCTCCTGTGTGACCTATTGTTTATCTCTCCCATGTTAATTAATATCATTAGTGGTCTTACCAGTCCTCTATAAGTATCTTTGCTTTGATATTGTTGTTGTCATGCACGGTTTCTGAATTGTTATCTCTTGTCTATATATTGTCCTAATGTACTTGCTTGAAAACGCCGAAAGAATACTCACCGAAACATCGCTTAAATAAATTAGTATACTTTCTACTGAATTACCGTCTTGCCTATAGATGTAAGTATTGCAGGCACAGTGCTTCTGCTCCGGAATCATTTTACGAATATCAAAACTAAGACAATGACAACAATATGAACTTTATTAACATCCAATACTAACTCAACTCACAACTCACTTCGCCCCATAACACACTTCACCCCACAACACACTTCGCCCCATAACACACTTCATCCCACCACATATTTTTCCCGTTTAACCCATTTTTTTGTAATCTCGGTCAATTATTCCGTACATAAGGCTTTGAACTTTTATACATTCTGTTCCCATTTTTTAATTTCTTCGTGGTTTCAGTCCCGATAATTTAACCCCTACGATTCTAGCTAAATTTTAATACCCGAGATTAAAAAGGCCATAATGGCTATCATAGATGACTACCCAAATCCCAAATTGCTTTGCAACCTTTCTTTGATTTCACACAGGTAAGCCCCCTTAAAAACTATGCTTCCACACAGGTAAGCCCCTTGATCTGCTTCTACACAGGTAAGCCCCCTTCTACACAAGTAAGCCAACTAATCAATGCTTCCACACAGGTAAGCCTCTTAATCTGCTTCCACACAGGTAAGCCACATTTTGCTTCCACACAGGTAAGCCTCTTTTTGCTTCCACACAGGTAAGCCCACTTACTTTGCTTCAACGTGACACGGAAGCCATCTAAACTATGCTTCCACACAGGTAAGCCTCTTAATTCGCTTCCACACAGGTAAGCCCCTTAATTTGCTTCCACACAGGTATACCCCTTAACTTTGCTTGCGCAGAGATAAGTCCTCTTAGCGTATCTTCCATGTTAGGTTGTGGAATAATACTTGCCGACACAGTATAAATAAATTAAAACAACCTTAGTATATGTCCCATGTTAGATTGCGGAACAACAAGGCTGAACAGTTTCACTCTAAATTAAATTAAAACAACCTTAGTCTATTGCCCTTTTATATACTAAAAAAGAGGTCAACCTTAGCGTATGTTCCATGTTAGATTGAGGAACAACAAGGCTGAACAGTCTCTCCTAAAATTATTAAAGAAAAACATTCAGTTTACTTCTTGCCGACACAGTAGAAATAAATTAAAACAACCTTATTGTATGTCCCATGTTAGACTGCGGAACAACAAGGCTGAACAGGTTCACCCTAAATTATCATTTGCTTTACTTCTTGCCGACACAGTTGAAATAAATTAAGACAACCTTATTTTGTGCTCCATGTTAGATCGCGAAACAACAAGGTTGAGCACGACTCGTCCAAATTATTGAAGAAAACATTCATTACTTTGTCTACACAGTAGAAATAAATAAGACAACCTTTGGTGGATGCTCTATGTTATAATTATATTGCGGAACAACAAAGCCGAACAGGCTCACCCAAAATTATTAATAAAGACAAACAGGCATTTAATACATCCTAATCAATCGACCACAGCTAAACACAAGTCACGCATGACGCATGCACGTGCGTGACCCATATCAACGTTTTTCTTCAAATACTGATATACATATAATATGCTATTACTATACCTTCTAGATTCAGATTCAGATACTTTCATGTCGAACACTTTAATAGCCGAGAACTAATGCCAGATATTCTTCATTCTAGCATCCAAGATTTTCTCTGGCCCGTTCATTATCAAAGTTTATGTCAGTCGCAAACCTTTTTCGATCTACATGTATTGCATTAAAAGTTTCGATATTTACACCAGGTACAATATTGGTCAATTTCGTCGGGGTGAACCATTTCCTCTTAACGCCTTCAGAAATTTATTTGCAAAGGGTTTACTTTCCCGTTCCACGCTGTTTGCGACATTTCAACAGATCGTGAACTTGTGCGCGAACTTGACTTGACTACTCAAGTGTTTCAGACAAAGTAACAGTTGGGACACTTGTCTCTTACGGCAAGGGCCGGTAACTCAGTGAATAGTAAATTGTCTTCCAAAAGTATGTGTTATAGTTTATTCCAGATATATAACTATGCAGTTCCCAATATTTGGAAGTTTAAAAGGGCAATCCAACGAAAGTATTTGTAGTTGTTTCCAATAAAAGTATGGCATCTTTGGTATATTATCAAAAGTAGAAACACTCATTAACACTAGAGAAATACTGAATTCCCGGAAAAACACCCATGGGGTGCCCAAAAGACAAAAATGTAAGGGTAAGCACTTCTTCTGTTGATATAATGGCTATAAAGAGAAGGGGAGAAATGGTTTTTAACGTGCAATCGACACAAACTAGGTCATTTCTGGACTAACATATGGTTCAATTCTATTTCAATAATTCGGTCGCGCGCAGGGGTCCTTAGCAGTGGGGGGGGGACCATACACCTTGTGACATACAACCGGGAAATCGAAACCACGCCAGTTGACCCAATGACAGACCTTATGATCCAGCGCGCACACGCTAACCATTCGGCCCTCTACACACTAACCATTCGGCCCTCTAACCCCCCTCCCTCCTGTAATGGCTAAAGTTGAGAGACTTAAACGTATATTAGCTTCTACGATTAAACGGCGAAAAAAGACGTCTGACATAGAATAATCCACGAATTCATTCAAGCGATACCGAATGGACCTAAAGACACCGTTTCAGGGATAGGCATCCCCAAGAACATAGTGTTCTTTGTATCTATCAGTTGGATCTGAATAGAATATATTGGGGTTTTTTTGGGAGGCACTTGATCAGTTATTTTCGTATATATGATAGATTTTAACTGATTTTAAAACAAAATGCCTTGTTTCAAAGTGATAATTGCTGTTAAATGCAGATGTTTTCGTCTAATGGGTTTTAAATAATTTTTTTAAAAAAATGTAGTTTCAGGGAGATAGTTGCTGTTAAAAGACCAAACTTATATCAAGAGTTCCGCGTTATACATGAATTCTTTAATGGAAAATTTAGAAAACGTGTAGGAAAATGAGCTTCATTGTACTGAACAGGGAGAATTAATGTAACGCGTCTGGAAATATCATTAATGCAAAAACCGAGCAATTGTTTCCGGTCTATAATAGACTTTTCTGAAAATATGAAATATTAAAGTACATGCAGTATTAAAAGAAATGTATCTATTATCGACATGTATGATGACACTGGTAACATTTTTCGACATTTGAGATTGAACAAATGAAGGTCGATCGGTATTGGTGAGTGGATTAAACTTTACGATTGCAGCATGTGAAGTAGTAGGATGCTAACTCTCAAGGTGGGTGAAACAATCAATTGACACTATCGGAAAACATGGGATTATATGCTGAGAGGGTAACGATTTCTTAATACACCACGCATTATGGCGGCTTCTAACACGTGAATAATCGCAATTAACCCCTACATTACTCGTCAATTTCCGGTTTTAAATAATGCTTTAGGTGTCTTGTAATAAATCCTCGATTGGTGTAGAAATTGGAAACTTCATAACGTCAACTTTTCAACGAAACCTGTTAAAATATATAAGATGAACGGAAATTAATTTGATCGAAAGCGAAATTGCGAGAGTGTTTGTTACAATCATGGCCTTGTTCGGGTCGTAGACGTTATAATAAAATACAGGACTAGTAAGTTAACTTTACAAAATAGCATAATCTTGAACGAAAAATTTCATAATTTTTAAACGTAATTCTATTGGGATTATACATATTATAACCCACACCCAAGGGTAAAATGAAGTATACGGTCAATATTTTTAAATGAAAGAAAACTGAACGCAAGTAAAATAATATTAAGATAGCAAACATCGCCAAATAACTACCTATATCCCCGCTTGTTGTTCTGTGATGTACCCCCTTTGCCGCCAACGTCCCATCCTTTTTTTATTTAGCTCGGGTTAGTGCAGATTAGGAATGCGTTAAATCCCATCTTATTTCTGCTGCTAACAGCTTTAAATTTACTCCCAGTTTTGCTAGTTTTAGTGCTAGCAGTTTGTGCAAGGTCATATCTGTTTAGTGGTATGGTGTTCCTGTATTACCCACTGAGCACACCTCTGCAGTCTAAATGGATAGAGTATGGCGGTGCTTTTAAAACTGGAAAAATATTTTATCAATTCGTTCACAAATAGTACCTATTTGCTAGTATACTGCAAAGTTTGATACTACGTTATAATATTCCACAAGAACGCCAGGCCAATGGTTACCATTGATTTTGCATCATAGCAGACCAGAATGAAAATTCAATACTTTAACCTTTCTATTTGGATATAATTTTCTTTACATATTATATTACACTTGGTAAAATATATCATGCACCTTTTCCTTGTACAATGAACAGTTAAGAGTTTACAGTTTTTCTTCGTCTAGCTAGAGATAAATGCCGATGTATACTTTATTTCTCTCACAAATTTGAGCATATATTTTTCTTTCTTTTTTTTACTTCTTTTGTGTAATGTATTTTATATAAGACTTATATATCCTATTGCTTCTGAATCGACTGCACGCTTTAATAATTAATTTGTTTTTGTTTCTGCTTTGGATAAGACGAACTGAACTATCTATTATTTTTTATTGTTTTGTTTTATATATATTTTTTTTATTAAATTGTCTTTAAAATAAAGACCAAAAAAGATAATTGTTAAAATTAAGATCATGTAAAGAAAATATATATCGTCTCTAGGGATTTGAGTGTGTTATTTTTTTTGTATAAAATTGGTTTATTGTGTAACAATACATCAATATGTAATATTGGCAATTTTGTCTTTATTTTTTTTTTAATAACGATATATTGTTAATATTGTATTTTGTCTCTCACATAAATGGATATTTATACAGTATGTTAATACAGCGCAAAACAGTTTATTTAATTCATCTAAATGATTAATTCTTGTTAAAACGGACTGCTGCTAAATAAACGATAAATCTTGATTACAATTTCTTGTTTGGCCAATCAGCGCAATCTACATTATTATGTCATCTCACAAAATGGCATTGTTTCAACAAGCGAAAAAAATAATCGCCCGTGTGCGATAGTCTTTAGTTTCTGAAACGTTGGATGAAATATTTACTATAATGTGTACCCAAGTCCTTTTTGACCAGTTTGCGTATGAATCAGGGGATTTGGTGTTTATTCAGAGATTTCGAGTTATTACGAACCCCCCTGTTTTCACCTAGCGCATTTTATAATAATAGTACAGGCGAATCACGTTCAAATTTGACGACGTTTTCTGCTAGCTATATTTTCCAGTCCACAAAATTGTCCCGCAAGACGGCACTGGCCCATAAAATGTTCCGGGGTTATATTTTGGGTGAAAACGTGCTGGTTTATGATGGAGCATTTCGTGTAAAACAGAACACGGCTATCCCATGAGATATATACATGGATCACTCACAAACATGTATTAAGTTTTTTTTTATTTTGGTTATTCAGAAATGTTTGTGATAAATAACCAATCAATGGTCAAATTGCTAAGATGATTATGATATAGGTAGTAGTCTGAAAAACTATTGGCAGGAAGGGGGTGCAAACAAATGAAATGAGGCTTTAACCCCCTACTGTTCTGCAGCGACTTGGCTAATGAAGACCAACCATTGTAAACATTACCTCAAGTCGACACAAGCTCGCAAGCGAGTCTGACAGATTGAGAACTATAAAGCTTCGTATGTTCTGTAAAAAGATTCATCAAAAGATTTTCTTTCTACACACCTTAAATTATGCACAAGTATTCACATTTCCGAAGATAGAGATCTTCCCACTCAATTACCGCAACTTCAAAGGCATGTTAATGGAATATCCTCCACGAAAATGCCCTTAGACGTGAATATAGATGAGAAGCATACATGTTGTTTTGACGGCCCACAGCGTCGGTTACTGTCCCAGACATTAAACACAGCTTGACTATCTGGAAATATCCATTCCATAGAGTATTCGACGGCATTTACATAGTTGATTTGCTTTCACCCGAAGCAAATCGGCATGGACGACTTTGGCATTTACAATGGTGTCTTTGACATCCCTGCACTTTCGAATCGTCGAGATCGTGAGTTGTCTTCCCAATGCGACCATACTCCAATCATCGGATCAGAATATTTACCCGAAGCCTCAGTGTTTTCACACATACATGCAACCTAGATTAACATTCAAACAATGTTAACTTGCCATACCAGAGATACAAGTAAAATTAGGTTCAATTGCAAAATTTTCAACACAAATCATCACAGTTTTCATGGAAATAAGTAATTATGTTAAAAATAGTGAAGAGTGGAACACTTAAATCTTAATCTTATCTTACCGAATAGTTTTTCTGTACTTTCGAGGTGACGTGAAATCACGTGCGGCCATTTTAAAATCAACAGTTGGGTTTTATCAAATCATATAGTTATGCGGTAAGGTTTCACCTTTATTTTAATGGCAATTGGTTTATTATGTTTTAACATAACAAACGCTATGTGCAGTACAGTTTGCCTTCATTACAATTGGAAATTAAGGGAGTTTTAGGCCAGTAACTTTTTTGTGTAGTCAATGACTTAAAAAAGGCCTTGGAACGATCAACTACTGTGGCTGGAGCAAGACGGAAGAGATTTCTAGCCATAAAGATTCTTTTATGTGTGAAATAGCTTTATTTAACGTCCGCTTCCACAGAGGTGATATCTTTTAATTTGAACATGCAATAAATAGTGGTTACGTACCTGATGCAGCACTACCAATGACCGTACACAAACTGTTAGAACAGTGATAAAAACCATAACAAACACACTGCGCATCTGTTAAACACGTCCTAGTGTCTATACCTTCACACTGAGACTGAAAATAAAATAATTATACAGACATTTTACCAACGCACCTCCTTGATTAAATATGTTGGAGTAGTGGGTAGCTGAAACGGAATGGGGTTTAAAGTCTTACTTTTCTGCACCATCCAATGCGCTATGAGGAAAACTTTGCACGGATAGCGGCGCTACGATCTACTCTTACTTTGAATTCCAACTGTCATGGGTTCTGTTACGTGCGCACCAACACTGGTAACAGAATAAAAAAGGAAATAATCGATCTAACGTTCCGAAATGAAATAATCTCAATGTTGCAAAGGTGTCGGTCGAGTAAATATAAGAATTTTAGGCAACCAGAGCTGTTATCGGGACGGGCATGTCTTGGAGGGACTGGCATATCGATTACATTTCGAAACTTCCAGGGCGAACGAACTAGATTCCTCAAATTTACGCCCGCTATGAACCCAGAACTAAGCGAATGATATTTCTGCCTAGCCTCGGTCATCATTACTAAAGTCAGTATGATAAACAGCATAGTCTCGATTATCCATTTAATCGTTAAATCGAGAAGGAAAGTTATGCAGTAAATCGTCTCACAATCCACTTAAGATCGCAGGCTAGCGATGCCATCTAGAGTTGATAATGGTCTGGATAAGTTAATTAATGTCTAATTAATAATTAAGATAACATTTCAGGCCTAAAGAAAGACGTGCATCTTGCATAATGTATGTTTAACTAATACTTAATAAATGATAATACATGTACATTATACTTATAAAATCATTTTTGAGGGATTGGATGGCTGAATGGTTAACGTGCGCGCGCTGTATCATAAAGTCTGTCATTGAGTCGACTGGCGTGGTTTCGAATCCCCGGTTGTACGTGACAAGGAGTAGGGTCGCCTGTCCAACCTCGTGGGTTTTCTCCGGGTCCTCCGGTTTCCTCCCACTGCTAAAGACCCCTATGCGCAAGCGAATTATTGAAATAAAATTAAAACCATATGTTAGTCCCGAAATGACCTAGTTTGTGTCGAGTGGACGTTAAACCCCATCTCTCTCTCTCTCTCTATAAAATCATTTTTAAAACCCTTTCGGCGTACTCCAACAGTGAATGTGCTAAAGACGTGTGTGTGTCTAACCAGGACTGTGCAAATCATGTGTCGTGTCAAATTAAAAACTTTTCTTTGTAAATAAATGTTGAGGGGAATCGAATCACTCTCAATATGTGTGACTACAACGGATCACGATTTTTTAAAGAGTTATCTGAATTCAAAATGTATTTAGGGGAACTGGAATATCGTTAAATCGATGTATCCCTATTCACCCTCTCGAAATACACAACGTGCTAAATCGAAACATCACGATTTTCTTTTTATTATCAATTAAGGGTAAACTGTAAATGTGGCATTGTTATAATATAAAATAATCGTTTTGCACTGAGAAATTAACTCACGAAGTAAACTCATTATTTCTATATACTAAATGGAATTGTATTGCAACACATGTATTGTGATACATATCGTATCATGGCTAATTTCAATTATTAGTGATTTTTAAACGATTCTGGTTTTATTACTTTTAAGCAAGAATCGATGCCAAATACCAACAATTTTGCCATGCATGATTACAGTAGCACCAACTATTATCGTCCAAGTCCAACTATTCTGCTAAATAGGGCTACCCGGAAGCAAATGTTTTTTGTAATATATATACATGACAGTTTAGAGATACCAAGGTCCATGTACTTTCGATCCTCAATGCATATTAACTGTCGAGTTCTTGTCGAAAACTAATCCCAGACGTCAATTCTTTAGATTGGCGAACAACAGGAGCTATCAATATCAATGCTGAATTATTTTCCGTCTTTTGCGTGAAGCTTAAAAGCTTACAATTTCATTGATAGGGTATAATTGATTAAAGCACATCTTATCCTATCGATTATCTTTTGACATTTATACAAATATTATAGATCATTCAGTTTTCAGTAAAAACTATTAATACAAGAGGTCTAGTACTCTCCATGTGTTGCTTCCCCTTTATTGGAAGACGAAGCCTTATAATGCAAATTGACAAAGACTGTGGCGATAAAAGAATTTCTTATTAAATAGGTCGATACTAAAATCAGAATATGTGTTTCGGGGGCATTTCTGGGTTGTAATTATCAACGTTAAACCCACACCTAATTATTATAGCACTGTGGCACGATAATACTTAAGAAAAAAAACACGTCTCGTAAATTTATTTTAGTAAATGAAAGTGACGAGGGTTTTTACATTTTACAGCACATTTTTTAAAATAATAATTTGGTTGTTATGAGGATATATGAGGATATATTTCAAAAACGAATGTATATATATCTTTCAAACGGAAATGAAATGAAATGGGATTTAACGTCCTACTGTTCTGCTCCGAACTTGGGCTAATGAAAACGGGCATACAGTGTGCTATGGGGAAAATTTTGCCCGGAAAGCGGCACTACAACCTACTCTTATATCGAATTCCAACTGTCAAGGGATCTTTTACGTGCACGCCAATGTGTACATGGGACCTCGGTTTTTTGTCCCATCCGAATGACTAGACAGCTGTCCTTGTCAGGCCCTCCGTCCTGCATCACTGATAAGGGGGTGGGGGGCACGCCGGAAAATCTGGATGAACTTTCTCGGCCAATGCAGGGATCGAACACCCGACCTCAAGGCTAGCGAGCCAGCGTCTTACCCACTTAGCCACCGTGATCCCCATCCAATTTGTTTGAACAGATATAATAACAAACAAGGTGTCACTAATTGATTGGCGAATACAAAATGATGGTCCTAATACAATTTCTAGCATTACCAGAGCGTAAAACATGGAGGACATAGCATTAGTAATAATCTAATCCGAAACTTATAGTTTTTTTTATCGTTATTACCATGATGTTATATAGCTCCTTTTCCAAGTGTGAAGTTTTATCATTAGTACCATGATGTTATATAGCTCTTTTTCTAAAAGTGGTGACAACCAAGGATATAAAATAATACAATACAGATATACAAATATTTGATCTAGCAATAATCTTACCCCATCGTTTACAAAACCGGCTCCACCAGTTGTAGGTCCATTCGATTGACCAAACTCGCCAAATCCACCGCCAGACCAGCTAGATGCAGAGCTCTCGATAGCCGTTTGGGATGTTCTGCTTGTCGAACCAGAATGAGTAAACTCTATATCCGAAAAGCCGTTGTCTGTAAAACCGGAATCGGCACCAGTATTCCCGAAACTAACACGTGCGGAACCAGTATCATCAGAACCTGTAATGCTACCCCAGCTGCCGCTTGTATCGACAAAACTACCCCCAAAGAATTCACCGTTAGTGGGCCCACCACTTTGAGAAGCACCAGCATTAGTAAACTCACTTCCAGCGAAACCTTCATCGGATTGAATCTGGGGACCTGCTAAACCTAACGTCTCAAAACCGCTTGAAAGGCCTGTTTGTCTATCAAACATGTCATTTAAAGGCGGGGACGTTAAAAATAAATCTTTTTCACTGTTTAGAAACTTGGATTGACCAAACAAACTGTCATCCGTGAATTCAGAAACTAGGTTTCTAGGTTCAGAAGTTTGCTCGGGTATATAGGAAATGGGTATTGATGGAAACCCTTGATAATTTTTTAAACCCTGGCTGTTATCTATACCGCCTTCTGGCAAATGTTTCTCAATAACGCTAGATTCAAGATAAGGCCAGTTATCCGAAGATTCTTCTGTATCATAATTGTTCTTTATTTTTCCCTGGCCATTAAAACGCGGGTTAAAGTTAAAAGATTTATGTAGTGGTCTTTCGTCGTTAAAATAAATATTACCTAAATCCGAGATTTTTTGAAAAGATTTCGTGATATTTTCTGTATGAGCAGGTAAAAATTCGTGATACTTTTTATAATAAGGCACTGTACTTTTTGAATATACATCGGATTTTGCTAACACTTCATTAGAATGAATTCGAATTTTATCTTTTAATAATTGTTCAATCTTTTTTAACGTTGAAAGTCGCCCATCCTCTATTAGATAATTTGGGAGAGTTGGTGATAATGAATAACGTCGTCGTCTCCAAAACGTGTATAATGGCTGGCTAGAGTGTTTTGATTTATCTGCCTGCTTATGATGAACTTTATGAATTTTTTCTGGGTCTAAAGAGTTTAAGAAATGGCGGCGATCCCCATACCATACAAAACAATTAGCAAGGTTCGCTGTTAAAAGTATCACATTCACTATGAAAATTGCGTAATACGTCCATAACCACGATCTCTCCATTATTCTAGGCTCCTGTCAATTTTCCTAATCGAAATGGGAAAACTGTTGGTCAAAAACGCACTCCCCCTTCTCCTCTTCCTCTCCACTGTCTTTGGTAGCTGATCTGAAATAAACAGTAAAGCGTTTATTACAATTAAATATAACCGTTCATTACGGGGTATATCAGGGGTGTTGTAGGCGTGGGATCCCCATCGATCTTTGAACGCATCTGAATAAGTGCGCGCGTTTGAAGGTTGAATATGGAGACAGAACTAGATCGTTTTTCTGAACAAACAGGATATACAATAATTATATTGACAGATAGATACAGGATAATCAATTGATGGATTTTATCCCACCCATTCGCCAACCGTTACAAATACATGTAAACTATCTATATCCAACTTCTATAAATAGTGTCACGTTTACTTATACATACAATTAGTAAGTAAAAGAAAACTTTCAATAAAGTGAATACTGTCGCAAAGTCACAGATATTAATGTGTATCCATTAAATATACAAACCGCCCAAGCGCCTTCAAATAAATTTCTTTTCTTTTCACAATAGCAATGGTTAAACGAGCCGATAAATATACTCGGAGAGAACTGTCTTCATAAATATAATTTACTTTGATTTCTTTCTCTCGTGAAGTCCAATCTGATTAAAATATAGATAGATCTATATTTCGTTTTGTTTTTTTATACTTTTGATCATGAAGATCTGACCGGTTTTAGTGGAAGGTCGCGTCAAAGGTCATACGAGCGGCTTTTGGCCTATGACGTCAGAATTTGATTAAGAAATCAGCGTTGGTGTTTCTAGTGGGTCACAGTTCAGTGCACCTCACGCCAAAAACTCTCCGTAACATACCGTTTCATTGGTTAAACCCTCACATCACCCAGAACGCGGGTTATATAACAACTTCTCCAGATTCTAGTGTAGTAAAGCAAGTAAAACGAAATTTTGAACTATAAAAAACGAATCGAAATAGGATCTGTGTTTTAATCAGATGGGATGAAGTCCAGGTATTATTACATTATTTGGTCGTTATTTTGTTTGCGAACTATATTTTATTGCTGTTTACCATCTCTTTAGGTTTCACGTAAAATTAATAGTCAACATTGAAGATAACTGGAAAAGTATTTGGTCATGTTCTGCAGATGCAACTGCCGATTAAACCGAATAAGCTATTTTTGAACCCCTCCCGAAAATGTGCTGGACTGACTGAACCATAACGGCCACAATTTCAAATAATCCCCTATAACTTCCATAGTCTTTAGTCCAGAATGAGAATTTTGGTGTCTAATCGTATGTTTTGGGGATCAAGGAATACACCGAAATCGATCATTATGTTCTAGGGTGATTAGAAGATAGTAAAATCAAATATGCCAGACGATATGGTCTTTTAACTACTTAGCGGTGGTTGGGGACAAACTGTATTTGTGGATATAGGAGCCTATGAGCGATACGATAACACCACATACATGCCTATCAGGGGCTCCAGGGCCACATGGGTCAATCCTGAAAAGGGGGGCACAAGCTGTTTGTTGAACATTTAAAAAAAAAATTCTACCCGCAAAACACGAACATAACCTCCACAAAACTAGGTAATATTCAGTTTAATCCTGTAGTTGTATTTCTGGCTCCAACCTGTGACAGTACAGTCGAAAAATGGTGTATATTCTAAGCCACCGCTAGTGCAGTTACCGGCACACGTACTACAGGACCTGTAATCCACATCTGATGAGCTACATGACGACTCTGGTCACTCTGGAGCAAGTTGATCGGCTGTAATGTCTTCAACTCAGTGTCCTTAACCCAGCAATACAGTTCCGGATCAAGTTACGACGGTTTACAATTTCCAGTGAACGCCCCACAATAGCTTGGTGTCTGAACGAGATCCTAGTGCACAGTAAATTAGACTAAATAACACCAGTCCTCACCCTAACTTAAAGCAAAGAATATATCAAACCCTAGCCCTAACCCTTAGTAAATAAAATTAACTAGTTATAAGAATCCCTAGCCTTAACCCCGGGATAGTGAAAAAAAACCCACTCATTTTTAGAAAGTCCAATCCTTAGTAGGAGAGTCTCAAATTTATTTATTTTTTCTTCAGAAACCAAAATACCACAAGCGCCACCAACACCAAAAAACATGTATAATATGTATATAAATCTAATGTATTGTAATCTATTTTGTATAAAACTAGGAAATATCACGAACCAAATTTTCATCATCCTAGGTCAGTGCTTATGTGGAGACTTAACCTCTCCCCCAAATTCTTAAACCTAACCATGGACCTAACCCTAACGCTTACACTAACCTGCCCTTATTTACATCTCAGCGACCTTGGCGAATATTATGTTGGCTTTAACAAATAGTTCTAACCCTAGAGGTAACGTAAAATTACCGTAAAACGTAAAACTATACTTCCCACCATTTGTATTTTCGAATTTTACTGCCTAGTACACTTTTCACGCAAGCGACAGAATTGTTGCTCTTTAAATTAATAATAGCATTATATTAACTATAGCTTTGGCTAATTATTGATTTCGTATTATAGAGAAGTCATATCTCACGCACTCAAATTAAATGAGTAATTTACAAAGTACACCAACCGTCACTTTGTATACGCTCATGCAGTATGCTATGAGGGAAATTTGCCCGGGCAGTGCCGCTACGGCCTACTCTTAATTTGAATTCCAACTGTGAAGGGTTTTTTACATTCACGCCAACGTGTACACTGTACCTCGGTTTTTCGTCCAATTCGACCGACTATACGTTGTACCTTGCCAGGCCCGCCGTCCTACACCACTGGCAAGGGGGAACCACGCTGGAAAATGAATTTTCTCGGCAAACAGGCAACATCTGGATCGCACTCATGACCCCAGGGTTAGCGAGCAAACGCATTACTCACTGAGTCACCGCGACTCCACCATTACCCTGTCGGTCCGTCAACAATTGCCTTGTGAACACGAAAAAGGCCACATTTTTAACGGGATTTCTTTCAAATTTGGTTTGAAGTATTGTGGTCATAAGAGGTTGAACCCTATCGACAATCTGCGTTCTGCGACCTTCCGTTCCTGCGCTGTGCCTTTTTTCAGAAACACGATTCGGGCTATCGTTCTTTCTAATTAGGTGCGAAGAATTGGGGTCATGAGAGTACAAAACCTATCAATATTCAGCGTTCCGAAAATTTAAACGCCCATGCTTAGTCTAATTTTGGCTTTGTCACTATTCATAATATACGACCACAAGGGACTGTAATAAACCCCAAGTTATCTCATAAAAGTACAACATATAATGCCAGGTGAATAGATTTATATTATACAATGTTTCACTATAATTAGACTTTTTCAGCTGGGTTTAAAATGTGATACATTTTGATGGGACATTCATGTACTTCTATTATAAAATTAGTTAGTTATTTCTATTTTAGTAAAAATTGATTATCGTTGTCACAACTGTGTCGTCCATTTATAGACTATTAGATGTGGGAGGTCAGAACAATGTATTGGAGTAAAAATTAAACTATCTTTGTTAATTGTTACAGCTGGTTTAGAGTCTACCTGCCAAATGAACATTGCAAGTAGTATGGTCACTTGTCTGAAGCTGTTGGTGGGCCCTTTGTGAGATCGTAATAATGGCATTAAGAAATCCGAAATAATAGAAACATAGAAAATAAACAAATACTTAAAATAAAATAGAAACCAATTAGGAAGTCTAATAATACGAGCTTATTGTTAAATTTGGACACAAATGAAATATACTTGATGTCTAAAATAATGCTGTGCACCACGTAGTCGACTGCAATTGTTTTCAACCAGCGGCTGCCAGGCAGGATACGCCCACATTTTCGCGAGATGGATAAAGAACAAGCTAAAAAGAAAGTGACTTTTCCTACAATCAAGGGCCATAATTCAGGAAATTACAATTCGATATGAGCAAATATCGACAGGAACCGAGACCTTTGGGTTATAAACTTACATTTCAAGTTTCAACACAATCGGATAAAAATTGTGACCTCTATAGGGTCCACAACCTTGATATTCCATATTTTTACGCCATTTGAGAACGAAGGGCGGCCATTTGACTGTCAGTTTTGGCCGATTTTCACAAAATTCGAACTTAGCCATCCTTGGGTGTAACGATGATATAATAATACGTTTTTTTTAAATCGGACAAAAATTATGACCTCTATAGGGTCCACAAGCTAAAAACGCGATTTTTCGTACAATCAGAGGCCATAATTCAGGAAGTTACGTTCCGATATGCGCGATATTTGGGTTATAAGCATACATTTCAAGTTTAAACCAAATCGGATAAAAATTGTGACCTCTACAGTGTTCACGAGCTTAAAAGGTGATTTTTCGTACAATCAGGGGCCATAATTCATGAAGTTACAGTCCGATACATGCCAATATCGAAAGGAACCGAGATCTAAGGGCGATAAACCTATATTTCAAGTTTCGTTGAAATCGGATAAAAATTGTGACCTGTAGGCTGGTCACAAACAATTGTGGACGGACGGACGGACGGACAGGGGCGACGACAATATACGTCCACATATACGTTACATATACACATGTGCTTGCTAAACTGTTATAGGTTTTCCTAGTTAAACACGCACGGGTATCATTAACACTTCAACTTATATTCAAGAGGGAAAAAACTGAAAGAGATAAATATCACAGCGTGGTTTTTGAATTGTGCTCTTAGTTAAATCGTGACATATTTAATCATGTACAACTCTCTGGTGGCGTTTATTTTTACCTATCATAATATACCGATTTGTTTTCCGCTAAATTGTGTTGAATTACTTGTCATCATCGGAATCGGAAATTGTTGACACCCCAGCAATCCCACGTATCCACTCTTGGTCTTAGAATGAAACGGTCATTAATAATGGCAATCGAAATAATCACCTAGATATTCTAGCTGTCCGTCGGATTGGTGTTACCGATAATCATAGCCGGTGATGTAAAAATAGATGAGATCAAAGACAACGTTTTAGCAAATGACAAACACGATCTGACCCGAGAGAGAATATACTGAATGACACCTTGCTGAACTTGGAAATCGACAAAATGCACGCTCACAAGCCTGCGCTAAGTTCACTATAAATA